TTGATATATTAATATTTTAACAATCAAAAATTTGATAATAAATTATTAAAAATATTAAAAAAAATATTTAATAATATAATTACTTATCAATTTGTAAATAATTTACAAAAAATTTAAAGTCCATTACAAATAGTAATTACACTCTTCTTCTATTTAAGCTAATAAATAACAACTTGTTAAGAAATAAACAGTATCAAAATCAAAAAAAAACATAAGGTAAAAAGATTACAAATCCTATCAACTCAACATCAATACAATGGAAAAAATTTAAACAATGGATTGAAATCAAAATAATAAAATTTAACTGACTATATCCATACTTTAAAATTTTAATTTAAATCCAAACAAAGTTAAATTAGGATAACAAGAACTTGAAAATATTTTCATTAAAGATGTATATAGAACTCTTAAAAAAAAACTAATATATTTGACACCAGATAAAAAAAGATTTGACTTGCCAGTAAATGAACAAGAGTATAAAGCTTATAAAGAGGTCAATAAAGTTAACTATCTACTAAAAAAGATTTATTACAGTTGAAATGTAAATAGTAGAGACAAATTTACACAAGCAATCAATAAACTTTATTCCTTATACAGGGAAACAGAGAATTGAGATCTTATAGCTCCTTAGTTCTTAGAAGAAATCCAAATACAGTGCAAAATATTTTCAAATCGAATATATACTAAGAATAATCTATAAAAAGAAAGAAAGTTTATATATCAAGAGTCAGATTAACAAAGCACTTGAAACCAGATATGAAGATCTCAAAAGTAACCAAAAATGAATGCTAAACTCTCTGCTAAACTAAAAAAAACTTAAGATAACCTTAGATTGGATTAAAATCAGAAATCAAGATAGAAAAGAATATATAGTTACAAATTCACAAACAATTAAACAAGTGATAGAGAACTATTACCAAAAAGCTTTCAAGCAATGAAACACTAACTATGAAAGCCTTAGTTCTAAATAAAAAAGAGAATATCAACAAAAGATTTGATAAATCCAATATAATATTTTCTTTTACAGAAAGAAATCCCAATAAAGTAATTGAAACAATACTAAGAAACCTTTTTAAAAAGAAAGCATCCAATCTATCATATATTAGTTATGAAATATTTAAAAATCTAAATCTTTAGGAAAAAAAGGCTCTCAAGCAACTATATAATTAAATAATTAAGGTGAGCTGTATATCAAAGAAATAGAAAAAAAGTAATATCTATTCAATACTCAAGTCAAAACCATAGAACTGTAGTCTAAACAACATAAGACCCATAATATTGCTAGAGTAATAAGAAAATGCTTTATCAAAATACTAACTAATAGACTTGTCAATATATGTAAAAAACATAAAATCCTATAAGAACTAATTTCACTGACTTATAAGGAGAAAGTATAGTTGAACCATTCAACTTCTAAACAATATCTGTGAAGAAGTTAGAGAAAAGAAAAAGGAATTATGAATCCTCTTTTAGGATATAATCAAAATATATGATATAATTAGTCTCAAGATATTAAAAAAATTTATGAACAAAATCTGTATTTCAGTTATTAGTAGATAATTTATTATAGATCTCTTCAAAAACAAAAAATACAGAACAATTTTTTCAATAGAGTTTTCAGATCTAGTTATAGTTAATGATGGAATAAACTAAGGGAAAATAATCTTACCTTTACTTTGAAGGATTTTTTATAATCTATTATTATGTAAAATATAAGGAAACCTAAACTATAGATACATGATTGAAGAAGAATGAATACTGAACTTTTAAAAATCATATCTTAAAGAAAAACCTTTTTTAAGATAAGTAGTGATAGTATATATAGATGATACTACTTGGATTGCCAAATTCAAAGCTAATATAAAATATATTTTAAAAAATACCAGATAATTTTACTAGACAAATGATTTACAAATAAATAATAAAAAATCTATCTTTTTGATTTTTAACTGGAACAATATAGACTCAGACACAGTTAATACAGAAATAGACAAATTAATAATCAAGGAACTAGATAAATATAATTAAGCAAGATTCCTGTGTATCTGTTTAGAAAGAAGATATAACAATTGGAATAATATTAATCTACTAAAAACAAAGATCAGAACAGTAATTCAGGTAATTAGTAATAAAAGCCTACCTGAAAAACTTGCTAAATACATTATTAATAAAGTTCTAATCCTTATATAGAATACAAAATATAATATACATATTTGAACGAGAAAGTTTGCAATAATCTAACAGCTATATATGGAAAAACTTTTAAAAACAAAGCACTAATTTGTAAAATAATATTAAATATGTATATATATAACAAACAAATATATGAGCTCAAAAGTATATAAGAAATCTAACTTGAAAGTTATATAATAATACAGTTCTATCAATTAAATAACAGTGAAGCTTCAAGAATTGTAACAGTCATCTGATTTAAACAAAATCAACTTAAATACTGGAAACCTAAAAATATACTTGATAATCTAGTAGAAGTTAAAACAATAAAAAAAAATAATCTTGCTATTACAACTTTAGTCATGGCAAAGAAACTACAGATTATATATAACAACTGGAAATAGAAAAAGATCTTTGATATTCAAGGAGGTACCATGTCTATTAAGACAATCATAAATGATGAAAAAGAATATATAAAAACTATTCCTTCTCTAAAAAAAAACAAAATAATATTTTTAGATCAACTAATCAATATGACCACACTAACAATAAAATAATGGAAAGCAATCCAAATTCTTGTTAGTACTTATAAAGACCATATTTCAAGCTAATATACACAAATTAAAGCAAAGGTTACAAAACAATAAGATCTGTTGAAACAATTCTACCAAACCCTGAAATGGACTAAATATGAATTTCAAATGATAAAAGTAATTTCTAAAACTAATAAGTGAAAAATCAATTGGAGAGTTTTGACTAAAATAGCAGGAACTACTATAAGAAAAGTCAAAATACAAAACAGATAAGTACTTTTCACATCATAGTAACTTATCTACAATTCTATCACAAATAGTACTACTTGTTATTTTCATATATTCAAATAACTAATAATTTCATATATATTTCAAATCGGATTATTATTACAACTAAATAAGTAAGAAAGTAATATAAAAAATTTTTTATTCACACTTTTAGGAAACTCTATAGATTGGCAATTCACAGCACTAACAAATAGATTAAGTATTATATAACTGATTAAACAGACTATACAATTAGAGAAGTATACAATAGATCTAATAAAGAGTTTTAGATATAACTATAAAAGAAACATAAAGCAATTCACTTTCTTTATTAATATATCTTACAAGCAATATACAAAAAATAAGAATAAACTTGAAATAGGTTTTGTATAGATTTAAATTAAGAATAATATAATAATTAATTAATTCTCAATAAGAATAACATCATGATTATTAATTACAAGAATAGAAATTCTAGTTATATTTACTACAATCTTTACAATATCTAAAAATGAAAAAGAAACCATATATATAAATTGTAGTGCAGTTATCAAAATATAAAAGACAATTCAGTCACAAAAATTTATTTCTATAAGAAAATGGACTAAAATAATTAACTGACTATTATAAAACTGAATTATAGACCTAATATGAAAGAAAAACCTTTGTCTTATACTTAAAAAGATTAAGGCCTATTAAGGTCAAAAGAGAAAATTCTTTAATTTGACAACAAACACCTGATTTGAATCAAGTTCTTACAATAATAGCCTGAAAGAAATATACCATTGATATCAATATTAAAGATTTCTTTAAAAATAAAATACAAAGAAAATAGAGCTAGTTTGAATTAAGCAAAAACATATTCCAAACTGATTGATATATCTTAGTAAAGAAATTGACTATCAAATTTTCTGAAAACAATTCAATCTATATAATACCTTTTACACTTTCTTTAGTATCAACAAGGACAAGAGTTTTTTGATAAATTTAACTTATAATGAACTTCCTACTCTTCAAATGATATAGAAAAGAAAATTAGACTTATATTCAAATATAACATACTCAATATATAAGTTACAAGAGGAAATCCTAAAACATCTCTTTAAATGTTCTAAAATTCAAGGTGAAAGATCAATTATATAAAACAAAAATCTCAAAGTAAAATTCTTCAGTATATTAGAAAACAGAAGATTTATCTAATGAGAGTCAGATAAAAGTTAAAAATGTAATAGAGAAATAGATCCAGTATATTAAACAACAGGATAAAAGCTTATATAACACAGTCTGTGACTTTATATATAGAGACAAGATCAAAATTCTAGAAGAATATCTCAAAGCTTTTAAGATCCTAGTAATAATAACATAAAAGGCTATTAGTAAATTTTGTAAAAAAATAAGGAAGACTTTTAAGATGAAAATTTGAAACAAATATTGTAATATTACTATTAAATAAAAACAAAATCAAAGAATTATCCACAAACTCAAATGGCTTAAAGTATCGACTGATATAACTAGAAAAATAGATTAAGTTCTTAAAAAAATCAACCATTTTTCCATTTTTTTTTTCAAAAATATAACAAAAGAAGAAGAAGACTTAGAATAAATAAAATTCTAAAGTAATATAGTAGATATAATAAGTAGTTGGATATCAAAAGGTTTTAAATAATTTGGTTTTTAATCACAGTTAAAACTTTGAAAGATCTACAGTAATGAGCTGTAGACAATAATCTGAATGGCTAGAGGATAATTCAAGTCATAAAATGAGTAAAATACAGTATTATCACCTAAGTTGTATCTAGAAAAGGTCAAACTTTATAGACAGGTGAGTCAATATATGAAAGTCATAAAATATGTAAATACCAAAATATGTTTACAATAAAAGGGACAAGCCATATTGGCCTGACTGCTAGTTAAAAAAAAAAATAAATAAATAAAATTCACAAAAAAAAAATAAAAATAACATGATATGTTTCACGTGATATGAATTTTACATAAAACTTATCTATTGCATTCCTTCAGTTTACTTTCATGTCTTCGCATAAAGCAAAAGTTAACGACGGTGAACAGGAAGATTCATCAAGCGAATCATTTGTTGTATATGGAACCGAGATTCCCTTTTCGCATGATTCAAGTGAACAAGACAAGGGAAAATTTCAGCCCTTATGGAAACAAGAAGTCTGTTTTTTTATTTGTTTTCCTCTAGTCTTACTTCTTATAATTAAACTCGGAATTTTATCCGTCTAGGTTCGCGATGAACAAGGTTTAAGACGTTTTCATGGAGCTTTTAAAGGTGGTTGGTCCGCTGGTTATTATAATACAGTTGGATCTAAAGAAGGCACGTCATTAATAATTTGGTGAGATCGCTCAAAGTATGTAAATCGTAGGCACATTTAGTCATCAAGATAACTACATTCAATCGCAAACAATAATTCAGGATGGACTCCTTCTTCATTCGTTTCTTCGCGGCATAACAGATCTGAACGAAAGACTTTCGAACCCAAAGATTTTATGGATGAAGAGGATCTTGAGGTAGGTCGATTCTTTAGCCTCATATATAATTGCTCACACTAAATAGTGTTTTATTTTTTAGGAGTTGGAACAAAATCGAAAGCTTGTTACTACAGAGGAGTTTGATTCATTTGGATCAACAGAGCGTGAATTAGAAAGAAAGTACTCAATGATGGAAGGTAGAGGGTAAGTATAATTTAGAATTGTGCAGTTTTCGTATTAATTGAAAAATAAATATTTTTTCGTAATTTTAGTGTATTGGGCACCCTTTCGGATAAATTTATTGAAGATATTGTATTACCAAGCAAAGAACCTATTGGTAAGCTAAATTGCGAAAATATTTTATCATTTTTTGCAATTCAAATATAAATGTACTATTCTTTATAGGAATGCGATTATTAAAGGCTATGGGATGGCGTGAAGGTCAAGGAATAGGTCCTCGAGTTATAAAAAGAAAGAAACTTGATGAAGGTTTGCTAAACATAATTTCCTGTTCAATAAAGTTTGTGCATTGTTAAGCTAATTTTCATTTTATTTTAAGACCTAGGCGCCGATGACGAAGATATTGATTCTCGGTTTTCATCTTTTGTGTTTGCGCCTAGTAACACGGAAATTATCAGTTTTGATCAAAAAAACAATACATATGGTTTAGGTTTTGATCCATACAAAAATGCACCGGAGTTTCTTGTGCGAAATAAAGGTCTTAAATACTTTTTTATGTCTAAGTCTGTATAATCTAAATAGCTTTATGAGACTTAATAATTTAGTTCTTATTAGGCACAATTAAAACGGAGGTTTTGGACTACGATGATGATGGTGATCTATACGCAGGAAATTCTATGAAATATTATCACACTTCATTGATGGAAGATGAGGATATGATCGTTATGGGAAACAGGAAAAATCCAAAATCAAAAGAGAAAAAGGTATTTACTAAGAAAATTTAAAGTTATTAACTGAAACGTGAAATCTAATTTATCAAAATCGTAACAGACTCATTCTTTTGAGAATAAATTGTGTCATGATGGGAGCTCACCCCTAAAAGGATTTATGTTATCTAGGCAACCTGTCTCTCTTGATAAATGGTAAGAGAATGATTTCCTAAGAATTTTATTGTCTTCATTGACTTTAAATTAAAAGTACGGGAATTTTATGAATATTAAAGGTTTAGTCCGCCAACATTGCCACCGGGATTTACGCCTTTCCATCATTTCGACTCACCAGATAATTCCAAAAATGTTGATAATGTTTCTCCTTTGGTTCAAAGGGGTGTACCACAAAAACAAACCACATTGGCTATTATTGCGGAACAGGTAATTTACTAACATAATTATTATGTTTCTGTAATCAAGAAATGTTATCTATATCTAATGTTGATTACGTGCATAAAAATGAAGCGGGGAGCATTATTAGGTGAGGTCCCCTTGAACGCTCCTTCAAGATCAGTTTTTGATTATGTATCTAGAAGCGATAAAGAACGGTTGGGTAATTTAATTGGGTTCAAGATCGACACAACTGGCGAAAAACATACAGAGAAAAGTTCCCGAGTAACCATTCCAAAGGTAGAAAAAGAAGTGGCCTTGGAAGCTTTAAAAGGATATATTCCTTTCGAAGAAAATAAGAAGAAGCAGGCACGATACAAACAATTTTTAGAAGCACAAGCAGAAATGACGGCAATTGAATTATTGAAACAGCCAGAGGTATACAATTTATTTACTAATACGAAGCTATAATTTATGAATTAAAATTAATTATGTTATGTTCAGGAACTCACATCCGAAGAATATGCCAAGGAACTTGATGAATTTGCACAAGCTGCAAGGATATTCCGCCCAATATCTAAAATGATGGCGTCTCGATTTACGAGTAGTAAATCATCATCTGACGAATTCAAGCAACCTATTTCGGGTATTAGGCCCGGACCGGAAAAGAGTTCAAAGAGTCAAAAAGATATAGACGAAGATCAGATAAATCAAAATTCTACTGTGCAAAAAGAAGAATCTGCTGCGGAGACTGCAGCAAGGATGAATATGTTTGGGATTCTTACAAGAACAACAACAATTTTTTATCCTAATCGGCTTTTATGTAAACGGTTTAATGTTGCAAACCCTCATCCAGAACACAAAGAAGAATCTTATTCCGAAAAAACACAAAAGGGTCAGAAAGAGGCTCTCAGCAAAGAAACGATGGATGATATTCTTCTGAAGCAAAACATACAACCATTCAAAGAATTCAGTAGCTCGGCCGATTTAACTAATAATGATATTCATGATGAAAATTCCGAATCTAAAAATTTTAATCAAGCTGAATCTAAATTATCACAAGAAGTATCTAGTCAATTATATGATGTTAAAGAGGTTGATGTACAACGTAAACGGCCTGCTATGGAGCTATTCGAATTTATATTTGGTAGTTCCGACTCCGAGGATGATAAAGACAAAGTTCATAAAAATAAGGTATTTACATGTCTAGTTTCTTAGACTTTTAATAAAACTAAAATTAACTTATTGTGTAATAGGAGCCTCCTAACATGATAATTGGAGATTCCATACTGTTGAATCCAGAAAAAAACAATTCACCAGTATCAACTACTATTACTGACGAAACTAGCACAATCCCCTTTCGACCAATGTTCAAAAAGCGATCCGATCGTGCAAATGATTTAGCAGCTACTCCCTCAACTGAATTAATAAATTCGAAGTCATATCCTAAGATCAAAGGAAAAGATCATTCTGTTAAAGGATCGTTGTCATTTGATGATTTTTTTGTCGGTCCCGCCGCGGATATTGCAGAAACTTCGAAACATAATTCTCATACAAGTGAAGATAAGGAATCATCTTCCGATGAAAGTGACTTGAATTTGCTGCGTACAAGCGAACGAACACATAGCCACAAACATTCATCCAAGAAGCGTAAGACAGAAAAAAAGAAGAAACATGCAAAGGACTCTCATGCTAGTTCCAAAAAAAAATCAAAAAAACGGTTGCATAAAGATGATAGTGATTATGATGAAAAGCACAGGAAAACTAAAAAGAAAAAACGAGCCAAGGATGATGAATCTTATGAGAGAAAGAAACAACATCGAGATAATGATGCTTCTTCAAAACAAGAAGTTAAGTTGTCGACTAGAAGCGACTTAGTTCCGGTAATTGATAAAAATGCTAAATCGTTACCTGAAAGTCAACGAGGAAGTGAATCAAGTGCCACCACGAATCGAAAAAGAAATCGTCCGAGAGCAATGGATTTGTGGTGATGCTATATTATAGTGAAGTTTTAATTCAATAAATGATATAAACATAGGGATTTTTTTGATAAGTTTATGTAAAATTTACTGTGAAAACGGGAAATTATGTAAACTTTGTTCAATAGATCAGCAGTAATTTGTAGTTCAATCTATTATAAATATAAATATAAATATTTTAATAAACGATTGATTTTAATAACTATGTTTTTATTATGAATCTCAATTTTAACTATTTTAAATTAAAAATTTACATTATATTAAAGTTTGTATTATTTATTTCAAAATTTTGTGATATATTTATATACTATATATATTAGAATTTTATTATCAAAAAAAATTTTTTTTATTAATAATTATATATGATAATTAAAAATATTTTTTTAAAAAAATTATTGATTTATTAAAAAAAAAGTTAATAATATATTTTGGATCAATAATTTATTGAATTAAAATTTTTTTAAATTAAGTTTTTTTTTAAAAAAATTTTTATAATATATTTTTGATAGAAACTTACTTTAATATATCTAGACTTTACTCATTCCTTCTTTTTATGGCTTGCAGATCTTCAACCTATCCATAGGAACTTGATATAATCTATCTTGTGATGAGATGACTTCAGTGCTAAAACTAGTTAAAGCATCTTGTGATCTTTGGACATTTTGTGATCAAATGAAGTCTTGATCAGAAGTAACAATGATTATTATTATGGAATGAATGTGATCTTTCTATATTATTTAGGCTTAGATGTTACTGTCTCATAGTGATATTGAACTTGAAAACAATACTTAGTAATCTAAAAACATTGCTACTGTACTATTGATTTACAAGTAATGATGGGTTTCTAAAGTATTTAGCATATAAAATTTCACAGATTACTTATGTTTCTTTTTGAGAAACAAAATTCATAGCTCTTTACTTTAATAGAAACAAAAGTTAGAAAATGTTATAAATTAATAATTTAAATAATAAAAAACAATTATGAATAGTTTTTTTATAGTCATTAATTTAAAAAATTTAATGTTTTTTAGTGAGGAACATTTGACTTTTGTTCTTGCTTCCTCTTTAAGAATTCATCTTTATTTACAAGTCTTAAGTTTTTTATTATATTTATAAACAAATTTTATTTTTTTTTTATGATTTCGAAAAGAACTTGTCTATATGATTTGAAAATATAATTTTTTTTTATTTTTAAAAAATATTTGAACAATTCTTTAATCTTTAATTATTCTTATATTAATATTAATAAGTTAATCTAAAAATATAAATTTAAATTTTTTAAGTTATAATATAGTTTTTTTATAAATATTATTCTTTATTAGTATTATCGTATTTAATAGATAAAATATATTCTTTAATTTAAAAAATGTTTATTATATTTTAGCTTTAATAAATAATCTAATTAAAAAAGTCATTTTACTAAATACTCTTAAATTTTTAGTATTTGATTTTTTTTTTTTAACCCACTGTTAGGCTAGTTATATGTGCTTTATTAAACATTTGTAAACTGTATATATAACATGAATCACTAAAGCTAAAAGGATGCTAACTAGCTTACTCGTCTTTGTAATTACTACTTTAAGTGCAACTTTGGGAGTATTTGATTTAATTTACTTAAAATAAATAAATATTACTTTTTTTGAATTTTCTTTATTTATTAAGTTAATAAAAAAAAAAAATTATATAACTTTTTTTTTTAATATCTAATTAACTTGTTTTAATTATATTACTTCTCTAAGTGTAATTTTAAAAGTGATTTATCACTTCATTAGTAGTTCATATAAAGATCCTTTCAACTTCTAACATTATTACCTATAAATCACTACTGCAGATCACTTGTTTAAGTTTTGATAGAGATCAAAATCCTAACTATTTCATATCATACTTTACATTATTTAGTAAATTTTCTTCCAACTTTTTGTATTCAATTCTTTTCTCTTTATATCTTGATTTTTTTATAAATAAACTTTCTATAATCTTGATTTTACTTTCTTGATTTCATAAATATATTGATCTTTTTATTTTATTACTATATTTTTGTAGATTTTTGATATCTATTCCCACTCAATTATCTTCTTACATCTGGCATTCCATATTTTCTTTTTGAAGTGGTTATATACTTTCTTCTACTGTATATTTTTGTTATCTATTTTGTTATCTCTTTTTTAATTTTCTCATTACAATATTTCAGATTTATTATTTTTATAATTAGTTTTTTCTCTATAAGTCATATATAGAAACTAAGTATATTTTGATTGGTTTTGAGATCTTTTTTATTAGTTTTTCTATATGTTTATCAATCTTTTCTATTTTAATTCTATTATCTATCATTAAGTTTGACCTTTTCTTTTTAAATTTCTTGTTCTTGTCTTTTACACTAATCGAAAAAAAATTATTTGGCATACTGCCACTCATGTAACATTTGGCAAAAAATAAACAATTCAGCAAAAAAAAAATGACATAAATAAATCGGCAACTACAAAAATTAACAATCAAAACTATTTATTAAAAATTCGTCAAAAATTCATCAACTATTCATCCACTATTCATCAACTATATTTGCAACTATTCGTCAAAAATTCATTGACCATTTGTTAACCATTCGTCAACTATTTGTCAACTATTTGTCAACTATTTGTTAACTATTCGTCAACTATTCGTCAACCATTTGTTAACTATTCATCCACCATTTGTCAACCATTCATCAACTATTCATCAAAACTATTCATTAAAAATTCATTAATAATTCATTAAATTATTTATTAACTA